AGAAAGATGTTAAATTTAGTATCTTTTAATTTTAAAATTTGCAACCAGTGATGTATTTGTGTGTTAATCTGTATTTTATTTTTAATGTTACTTTTAGATATTAGAATTTTGTGCGCTTTTAATTCGAATTTGATATGATTTTTTTAACCATTCAGATTGAGTTCTATTTCAAGGCATTTTGATTTATATATGTATTGTTTTATCGTGAGTAATATCAAGTAACAAACTGCTAATGATAAAATCAATTAATTGCTAATTAATCATGAAAGTATTAATCTAATAGGTTTGTCTAAAACAAGCTTAAAAAAAGTCGACATTTAGTTTATGTTTGTATATACAAATACCGTATGTCTATCAATAGAGATATTAAGTATATTTTTGTATATGTAAGTATGTCTATCAATAGAGATATTAAGTATATTTGTGTAAATGTAAGTATGTCTATCAATAGAGATATTAAGTATATTTTTGTATCTGTAAATATATCTATCAATAGAAATATTAAGTATATTTTTGTATATGTAAGTATGTCTATCAATAGAGATATTAAGTACATTTTTGTATCTGTAAGTATGTCTATCAATAGAGATATTAAGTATACTTTTGTATATGTAAATATGTCTATCAATAGAGATATTAAATATATTTTTGTATATGTAAATATGTCTATCAATAGAGATATTAAGTATATTTTTGTATATGTAAATATGACTTCTCTACGTTTGCATGTGTCAACACGTCTTCCAACACGAAATGAAGTTGTTCTATCAGCTATATCAGATTAACATGTTAACACTTTTTTCATTCAGTACACGTAATTCATTGCCCCGGACAAACGTGGCTTAATAAAAGAATTGTGTCATCTCCCTTTTTGTTGGATTTGGATATGTAGTATTCATATGCGAATAGACAGGCTTTTAAAAGCCTGGTTAGCTGAACGAAAGTTAACATAAACATTTTGACTGACATATTAATAAACACATTAATAATAATAGAATTATTGCATGAAGAAAGATCAAGTTGATATCTGCAGAATAAGAACCACAACCATAACTGTAAAATTTTAGATATTTTTTCACAAATCACGGTTCCAATCTTTGCTTTCACACCTTGTTAAGCTAACCATGCTACGACCGAATGGTCCCCTGAAGGGCACATTAAGTGCTTTACACGTATTGTACCGCGTAACTCAGCTTACACGCGCTCCGGGTATAACCATTAAACCGAGCCTAGTAAGCGTAATGTCTAAAATTAGAAAAATGCAATGTCCTCGATTTTTGGAAATACGAAAGGTGCAGTGGAATTCTAGAAAGTCGATTGTGCAATAGCTGTGCGCATTCTTCCCGGAACAGAATCTGCATAAGAAGGCTACTAGTACTTATATTACTTTACTTTATTGTGCATTATATAAAGTATCTTATCCCATCCCTAGGTCGCTTAGGAACTTATAAAACATTTCACAAGCTTCTGAAATTTTTTAAATCAGCGATTTGAGAAAGAAATACAAATTACTTCATAATATTTCTGTTACAAAATATTGCCAAAATATATCGTTTTTTGAGTTTCTACTGTATCTATAAATCAGTTATGGTGTTTGTCATTAGCTATTGTTTCAAAAGTTATTAATATCTTTAATACCTTCTTAAATATTTTTACTTTTATGATTCGGATCTGAAATCATACAATACGTTTTTTATTCTGTTGATTTTTTTTATTACATACTTACTAATATACGTTTTTAAATACGACTCAATTGCTCTAACCCATATCAGCCCTCGCCGTATCACACCCCAAAACCCGTATCAGCCCGCAAAACCCATATCACACCCTTTTGGAAAATAATTCGTTTTTCAATATTTCAAAAATAAAAATAACTCATAAGATAGTAGTTTTTATAAGTAAGTATGTAATAAACAGAATAAAACACGCCTTTTTCGATATCACATCCAGTATCAACCCTCGCCCAATATCGGGCCGAGTATTGCAGTCTCGGGTTGATACTGGGTGTGATATGGAAAAAGGCATGTATTATTCTCTATATATCGGGTATGGCGTTTTCCGCTATTTTTCTATCAGCTAATACGATTTTATATGAATTCATGTGATTTACGTCAGTTGTTGTGGTTTCCCCAAAGAGTATTAAATATCAGTTTAACTGTTTGTATTTAGTTTTGATATCGGTTAGTGTGTTTTGATAAACACTATTGTGTAATTATTATTTTTTTAGAAAGTTACTTTGATTTTATTCTGTTCGTGTATTAATTGTGGTGGTTTCCGATAAAAGTAATATTGTTATTATTTTATATCAAGATATGCTTCTGTTCTTCCATGTTATCCACTTTGCTTTAGCATTAGACATTTTTTTTCTGTTTTGATATGGAATATAGTGTTATCATTCTGTTTTGACATGGAATATATTGTTATCATTCCGTTCTGACATGGAATATAGTGTTATCATTCTGTTTTGTCATGGAATATAGTGTTATCATTCTGTTTTGGCATGGAATATAGTGTTATCATTCTGTTTTGACATGGTATATATTGTTATCATTCTGTTTTGACATGGAATATGTTGCTATCATTCTGTTTTGACATGGAATATAGTGTTGTCATTCTGTTTTGACATGGAATATAGTGTTGTCATTCTGTTTTGACATGGAATATAGTGTTGTCATTCTGTTTTGACATGGAATATAGTGTTGTCATTCTGTTTTGACATGGAATATAGTGTTATCATTATGTTTTGACATGGAATATATTGTTATCATTCGGTTTTGACATGGAATATAGTGTTATCATTATGTTTTGACATGGAATATATTGTTATCATTCCGTTCTGACATGGAATATAGTGTTATCATTCTGTTTTGTCATGGAATATAGTGTTATCATTCTGTTTTGGCATGTAATATAGTGTTATCATTCTGTTTTGACATGGTATATATTGTTATCATTCTGTTTTGACATGGAATTTATTGCTATCATTCTGTGTTGACATGGAATATAGTGTTATCATTCTGGTTTGACATGGAATATAGTGTTATCATTCTGTTTTGACAGGGAATATAGTGTTATCATTCTGTTTTGACATGGAATATAGTGTTATCATGCTGTTTTGACATGGAATATAGTGTTATCATTATGTTTTGACATGGAATATATTGTTATCATTCTGTTTTTACATGGAATATAGTGTTATCATTCTGTTTTGACAGGGAATATAGTGTTATCATTCTGTTTTGACATGGAATGTAGTGTTATCATTGTGTTTTGACATGGAATATATTGTTATCATTCTGTTTTGACATGGAATATGTTGCTATCATTCTGTTTTGACATGGAATATAGTGTTATCATGCTGTTTTGACATGGAATATAGTGTTATCATTATGTTTTTACATGGAATATAGTGTTATCATTCTGTTTTGTCATGGAATATAGTGTTATCATTCTGTTTTGACATGGTATATATTGTTATCATTCTGTTTTGACATGGAATTTATTGCTATCATTCTGTGTTGACATGGAATATAGTGTTATCATTCTGGTTTGACATGGAATATAGTGTTATCATTCTGTTTTGTCATGGAATATAGTGTTATCATTCTGTTTTGACAGGGAATATAGTGTTATCATTCTGTTTTGACATGGTATATATTGTTATCATTCTGTTTTGACATGGAATTTATTGCTATCATTCTGTGTTGACATGGAATATAGTGTTATCATTCTGGTTTGACATGGAATATAGTGTTATCATTCTGTTTTGACATGGAATATAGTGTTGTCATTCTGTTTTCAAAATACATCATTGGATTTGTATCTATGTATACTGATTTGTGCTTTGATTGTGTTTATAATGAATGTTAATCGGGGTTTTTAATTTATTAAATATTATTTTGTTGTGTTTTTAGTCTGTTGCATATTCTTATTCCAAAACGTGACGTGTCTTATGATATTTAAGAACTATAAAACATCACCGACTTGGTGTGTTTTGCTGTTTGAACAGAGTCGACACAATTTGATCCTGAAATCCTTATTTAATCACAAGTCTGTTACGACCGAAACAAATGGGGGCATATTCAGGCAAGCTGCAATGTCTTAGCATTCAGATAATATAGTAACTACATTTTGTCGAATGTGTTTAGTTTACCATTGATAAAAGGATTATCTGAAATAAAATACCATATACCTACTGTATGAATGGGATACCTGAAATTTAGATGAACACCGTTTTGATGGTATTTAGCTCAATATGGACCTATTTGCATTATCTATACACAAATTGTTCATCTCTGATTTTGGAATATATATTTCATAATAGAAAGAATTACTATCCTAAGTAGTCGATTTTAATAAGAATATAACATTTATATTTTCAGCTTTCGATTTATTCACAGATCAGTATGTTACAATGTAATACTTAACTTTTACGTAAATCAAATTGAATTGAAATTGTGTATGCGACTTAAGTCATTTTTTATGTCATGACCTCATCCTAAACGCACACTTTTCTGGGAAAATGGTTTCGTCTGTCTTGCCTCGGTGTTGAGCAATACCAATATAAAACGTTTAAGTAAATAATCTTTAATTTAGGATTGTCACGTGCCATCAATAAAGCAGAGTATCCTACACAAATTAAAAGAAAAAAGTACAAGTTTTTAAATGCAGCTCAGAATTTTCATGCATCGCTAACTTTATAATTTTATTTTAGAAAATTGTTACAACTCTTTTCATACATCACTAACTTTATAATTTTATTTTAGAAAATTGTTACAACTCTGAGCTGAAGTTCCAGCTGCTGGATACACCTACCAGCGTTTGTTACACATCAGTGAACTAGCAATCAAATCGTGTGGTACTCAGTAGCAGAATGCCACATGTTATCGTCAGGACCATTTTAATTGACATAAAAAATGCCTGTGAAAACACAGTATCATACATTTTATAATGAATTAATTTAATAAGTTGTGTTGCTGACAAATCTTTTTCTTTTTCAGCTTTGAATTTGGTATTGTGGATGAGGATCAGCTAGATCTACTGGAAGAATAGTTCAATGAATGTAGAATGTAACTTTTACATCATTAAAATATTTAAGTTCTAATTTAATGTTCATTTTTCCTTATATTTGTTGCGAAAAAGCCGTCGCGCACTATGACCCTCTTTTTATTTTCAAAAGGGGGTCATCACCCTGTTTTAGAGTATCAGGGGTTGGCAGGTATGACTACTGTGAATATCAGGGGTTGGCAGGTATGACTACTGTGAATATCAGGGGTTGGCAGGTATGACTACTGTGAATATCAGGGGTTGGCAGGTATGACTACTGTGAATAGTTTTTAAAGAGATATCTTTAGCATATCTGGTGTACAGAAAAGTTTAACGGATTGCTTATTATCAATGTAAGTCTTTTCAAAATATGGACAATGGTTCTAAATTACCAGTAATGAGTTAAAAATGAAATCATGCTTAAATAAGCACAAATCCAAATGCCATTTTCCTCCTTGAAAACTATTTTTACTTAAAATTGTGTTTTCCATGTATGATTTTGCGAAAGAAAAACATAAGATACATGGCTTCTGCAATAATAGGGTGCAGGTCACACGTTGACTTGGGGAATATTGTATTGGTATAGACAGGGAATATTGTATTGGTATAGACAATCTGTGTGAAGGTGCATTGTCCCTAGTCTGACAAGTAAGGCCTACCGAAAGAAGTCTGACATTAATATGGATAAAGAATGTATGGTTCTATATTCGAACTCTATCTCGGAAAATACATTTTGCAAGTGTTTGATCATAAAGGCTTTTTTGTCACTCTCTGGCAGAAAATATATGTTTATGATTTTGCCTTTGAAGTCAATGGACGTGGCTTAAAAAGGGGAAAACATCTCGCAAAGGAATGGCCAGCGCTGAAAGCTAACCCTACTCTGACTGCGACCTTCTTGTAACAATATGCCAATGGGTACATGTAACTATACCTTACTACGAGCCGAGTGTTTGAGAAGCTTTTGTCAGCATAACTCAACATTATAAAGGAAACCTTACAATCAACTCACCAGCAGATAGGTAACAGATCCTATCTATACGAGGTTTTCGTTAGCAAACAGGTTGAGTGCACAGGTACGAGTTCATAAAATATCAGGCGAATCTAAAACATTTATCGTTGGAAAAACCAGAACTTGAGTCATACTCATGAATATTCATATAAAATACTGTTGACATTGAAGTTACCTTGGGGCCAAACTCATTCGGATTCGAAAAAGTACCGTATAAATGAAAACCAGTACATTGTGACAAAACATCGGGGCCAAAGTCATCAAGAGTATTGATTCAAATAGGTTCCGCATAAATGAACAACATTGAAACAAAACATTGGGAAAATGTTCATTTTTGTCTATATCATTTTTATGTTCCAGGTACATATAGTTCATAATTGACCAAAAAAACCGGAAATATGACGTACTAGACCGATTCATAATGGGACGAGGCCGGAGAACTATAGAGTGATTTTGTCTCATTAAGGAACTTTTTTAAATACAAATTTCGATTTTAACTAGTAATCATCTAAGACATTTCTACCGATCCCCTTAAGATCTCAGGGGACCACCATGTGATGGTAATGACCCTATGAATAAACGATACTCTAGCTTGAGTTGCGACACTTATTGGATAGAACCCATTCCCCATTTAGGCCGCTCGAATTTCCTTTTATAACACTTATGATTTAGTTTCTTTTCCATTCATCAACCATCATTACCAAATTGCATAATTCATTCAGTGAATTATAACAAATTATATTAAGGATATGCCCCTTTTGAAATACACCTCTATTTTAAAGATAAGAAACATGTTGAGTTATGATCAATTGATACCATAGAGGTTCGGGGAAAGAAAAGAAATGTTGTATCACAATAAATTCTTTCCTGAGAGGCTACTGATGTGTTATCCTGAGAGGCTACTGATGTGTTATCCTGAGGGGCTACTGATGTGTTATCCTGAGAGGCTACTGATGTTTTATCCTATGAGGCCACTGATGTGTTATCTTGAGAGGCCACTGGTGTGTTATCCCGAGAAGCCACTGGTGTGTTATCCCGAGAAGCTACTGATGTGTTATCCTGAGAGGCCACTGATGTGTTATCCTGAGAGGCCACTGGTGTGTTATCCTGAGAGGCCACTGATGTGTTATCCTGAGAGGCCACTGATGTGTTATCCCGAGAAGCCACTGGTGTTTTATCCCGAGAAGCTACTGATGTGCTATCCTGAGATGCCACTGATGTGTTATCCTGAGAGGCCACTAATGTGTTATCCTGAGAGGCCACTGATGTGTTATCTTGAGAGGCCACTGGTGTGTTATCCCGAGAAGCCACTGGTGTGTTATTCCGAGAAGATACTGATGTGCTATCCTGAGAGGCCACTGATGTCTTATCCTGAGAGGCTACTGATGTGTTATCCTGAGAGGCCACTGATGTGTTATCCTGAGAGGCCATTGAGGTGTTATCCTGAGAGGCCACTGATGTGTTATCCTGAGAGGTCACTGATGTGTTATCATGAGAGGCCACTGATGTGTTATCCTGAGAGGCCACTGGTGTGTTATCCCGAGAAGCCAATCGTGTGTTATCCCGAGAAGCTACAGATGTGTTATCCTGAGAGGCCACTGATGTGTTATCCTGAGAGGCCATTGATGTCTTATCCTGAGAGGCTACTAATGTGTTATCCTATGATGCTACTAATGTGTTATCCTGAGAGGCCACTGATGGGTTATCCTGATAGGCCACTGATGTGTTATCCTGAGAGGCCACTGATGTGTTATCCCGAGAAGCCACTGGTGTGTAATCCCGAGAATCTACTGATGTGTCATCCTGAGAGGCCACTGATGTGTTATCCTGAGAGGCCATTGATGTCTTATCCTGAGAGGCTACTAATGTGTTATCCTATGATGCTACTAATGTGTTATCCTGAGAGGCTACTGATGTGTTATCCTGAGAGGCTACTGATGTTTAATCCTGAGAGGCCACTGATGTGTTATCCTGAGAGGCCACTGATGTGTAATCCTGAGAGGCCACTGGTGTGTTATCCTGAGAGGCCACTGATGTGCGGCCTCCTGCAGAACCGTCTACTTTATGCGATGTCTTCTGCTTAGGGGACCTTGACACCAAAACTGATCTGCTACATCCATTGCAACACTTAATGTCTATGTCTTGAATTTCATATTACTTTCCGGGGGCGTCTCCCTATCCCTTCTTCCAGTGACCTTAGCTTTTAAAAGGACGTAAACACCGAACAACCAAACAAACATAATTAATTGATTACTCATTCAAAAGATGTATATAACCTAATAAAAAATGATGCTAAGATAATTGCATTTAATTGTTTTTAATAAATAAAAAAAACGCAACCGTGGTAAAGGTTACTGCTCAATTCGTATTGTCTTCCATTTTGTTTGGTGTTTCCTCAGTTTCCTGTGGTTGTCTTTCCCTTTTGTTTTACTGCCTCCTGAGATACTATTGTCTCTTTTTAATGTCATTTCAGAACCTGTCGCCTTTCCTTTTGTTTTGGTCCCTCCTTATTTTTGTTTTTGACTTTCCTTTTATTTTGATAACTCCTCGATTCTTGTTGTCCCTCCTAATAGTTTGGCATCTCATGGGGTCCTGTTGTTGTCTCTTCGTATTGGTGATGTCAAACAGTATATTCTGTTTCACTTCAGTAATATTAGCAAATGATATTTGAACACCTTATCTAGAAGCATATTCCGTCTTTGCGTATTGCAGAGTTATCTTCTCTTGGGAGCAGGTATTGATTGTTACGTTACTTGTTTGTGAGAGTAACGTCATCAATTTTTGAGAAAACGACGTAATTTTCTCGCACAAACCAATGACGTAACAATCAATACCCGCTCCCAAGAGAAGATAACTCTGCAATAAGCAAAGACGGAATAAGTCTATACAAATACAATGGCAATGTTTACTGTATATTTTGATATATTATAGATAAGATAAGGCAGTGTTTATAGTAAAAAGTTGCAAAACTATATATACTTTGGTAATGTTTACTGTATATTATGATATATTATAGACATGATAAGGCAGTGTTTATAGTTAATTTTTTTATTTCCATGTATACTATGATTATATTCACTATAATTTAAAAAAAAAACCTCCTATTTTTGTGACTGATCTTGATTGGCATGTTCAAAAAGACTTATTCTATGTAAAAGAACAACAATACCAATATATCTATTGTTGTGATAGCGATATATCCATTGTTGTGCTAGCGATATTTCTGTTGTTGTGATAGCGATATTTCTGTTGTTGTGATAGCGATATATCCATTGTTGTGATAGCAATATATCTATTGTTGTAATAGCGATAAATCTATTGTTGTAATAGCGATATATCCATTGTTGTGATAGCGATATATCCATTGTTGTGATAGCGATATATCCATTGTAGTGATAGCAATATTTCTGTTGTTGTGATAGCGATATTTCTGTTGTTGTGATAGCGATATATCTATTGTTGTAATAGCGATATATCTATTTTTATAATAGCGATATATCTATTGTTGTAATAGCGATATATCTATTTTTATAATAGCGATATATCTATTGTTGTAATAGCGATATATCCATTGTTGTAATAGCGATATATCTATTTTTATAATAGCGATATATCTATTGTTGTAATAGCGATATATCTATTTTTATAATAGCGATATATCTATTTTTATAATAGCGATATATCCATTGTTGTGATAGCGATATATCCATTGTTGTGATAGCGATATATCCATTGTTTATGGAACAAAAAACAACAAGAGAAAACCGCCCCAAACCTATAAATCTATGACCTGTAAACACCATAGGTAGGTGAAACAGTGATGTTTCTATTATGGTAGAAAATGTTCACGAACGGAAAGGCTTATCGCGTATAGATTTGTGTATGCAATCCCTGCTAGTCATGCATGTTGTAGGTCAATATTGAGGAAAGCGGCTGAAATAGAAAAGTCTATAGTGTCCTTGATTTCAAGGAAATCAACAAAAATGTTATTTACCTAGAACTCAATCATGCTCACAATTTTATCCTCAAAACATTTAATTATTGCCATTTATTCAAAAGCAAGCACTTTTATCATGGTTGACTATGAATCTGTACATCGTATTTCCACAAGAATGATTATATATCCCTCATTAAGTCACAACATATATCATCAAAACATTGGTAAATGAGTCCTCCATGTTTTGTTGGCTAACATAATTATTCACATGTATAGCTAATACGACATATTACATAAAATGAAGGCGTCGTAATGTCTTTGGTATGCAAGCGATGTAAGTGTGTATTGTTGCCATTTATATTACAAGTAACCATTGTGCTTCTCCTAGACTGTTTGAACAGGTCTGGTAGGTTTAACAAGGTTACCCCGTTCTAAAAGCAGACTAAATGTTTCTCAATAGCTTTCTTAACAAGCTCTAAATATACACGTGTCGGCTTCACCCAACGATTTCCTTAACAAGGTTCCCTCGTTCTGAAAGTAGCAAATATATTTCTCGATTGCACACGTGTCGGACTCATCTAACGAATTTCTTAACAAGCTACCCACGTTCTAGTGGCAGCATACATATTTATTAAATACACATGTGTCCGCTTCAATCAAAGACTTTTTTAATTAAGCATATACTGACAAAATATGTATGTCCCGTGGGAAAAATTGATCCTGTGTGCATAATTCATGAATACATATATAACGTTTCGCTGTTCGTCTACCTATGTACAGGTATAATACATCGCCATGCTTATCACACGTACACACATCAATTACTAAAGATCATATTACGCGTTAAGCTGCGGTCTTGATAATTTGTATCACATGTGAAATAGGAAGTATTGAAGAGAATATGTATTTTCGCTGGTATCGAACAGCCACCCCAACTCTGTTGTCTGATGCTCTGCCTTTGAGTAAAAGTTATAATCCCTGTAGCAGAAGCAAATTGCTTTACTTCTTATATATTATATTTTCAGGTGTACAGACACAATAACGAAGCGGGCAAGAAATTCCGCTTATAGAATATAGAATATAAAATATAATTTAAAAAAAAACACGAATGCATTTTAAACAGTAAATTTAATGTATTGTATGCATGCGCGATCTCTGGAATTCGTGCCTTGTAATTGGAACTTTTGTCTGGTGGCAGCCAGGGAGACTATTTTTGTCCCTTTTTGTTGTTGGAATGCAGATACGGGAACGATAGTTCACAAGCCTTATGACCAATTCAGAAACCTGAGCCTAGTTTATTTCCTTTTAATGTTCCATGGTAGCTCAGGTTTCAGGAAGCTCCAATGATACACTTGAGTTTGTATTTCTTGCTTTATGTAAACTCCTATTCAATGTCGGATGGATATGTTTACTCCATTAGGCCATGTTTGAACTTTCTTTTATTTTAATACCCTTATGCGTGTTTGAAACCAGACTTGTCCCCTGTCAGATATATTTTCAAAACCTGTTATTGTCATATGCGTCTATGAACACAACACTGAGTATCAAAATGTTTTATTACAATCTCTGAGTCTATAGAAACACATTATTATCTACGAAATGCATAATGAATCTTACTTTAGGCCATGCAGTACGATGTTCTGTATTTCATACTGTGACAATACAAAATGTTTTAATATAACATTAACCAGACTCTCATTGTTTCTCTGTAACTCATCGGTTGGTGTCTCCTGATACGGTCTACGAATCAAAACAATGATGAGTTCCGAATATTTTTGCGTCTGTTTACTCTATGGTAACGTGACGTCATTATTTTGTCCTCTGCGTCATAAAAGCCCGCCATTGTTGTTTGATTCAATCAAGATTTCGAGAAGAAGATTTTAAAATGTGGAACTGATGAGTATTGTTTTGTAGAAAAAATATATATGCATATAAAGAACAAAAATGTAATATTGTAATACAATTGAGTTGGAAAAATGTCCTCTTTCATTGTGCGAATGTACATAATTCGCTCTAGTTAACTTAATTCTTTGTGAAATATCAGCATACACGCATTACAAACATATATGTATGGCATTGTCTATTTATAGATTTTTATATTATCATCTCTTTGGATCATTGACTCGAACAAAACATGATATTAATATCGATTTTGAAAACAAGACCATTTACACAGGTCGATAATCAGTCGCAAGGGATAGTATGTAGCCAGATATTACCCATAAACGCATGGAGTTATTAGACCAAAACAAACCACAACATCTCTACATAATGCACAGTCTCAACAAAGCTCAAGGTAAAAATAATACATGAACAGAGCGTCAGCTTACAATAATTCATGTACCACAGCCGCAATACAGCTATCGGGGCAAATTATAACACATGTCAGCACAGTGTCAGCTCACAATGATTTCATGTACCACAGCCTCACTACAGCTAACGGGGCAAATTATAACACGTGTCAGCACAGTGTCAGCTCACAATCACTTCTTCATGTACCATACCCATAAACGCATGGAGTTATTAGACCAAAACAAACCACAACATCTCTACATAATGCACAGTCTCAACAAAGGTCAAGGTAAAAATAATACATGAACAGAGCGTCAGCTTACAATAATGCATGTACCACAGCCGCAATACAGCTATCGGGGCAAATTATAACACATGTCAGCACAGTGTCAGCTCTCAATGACTTCATGTACCACAGCCTCAATACAGATAACGAGGCAAATTATAATACATGTCAGCACAGTGTCAGCTCACAATCACTTCTTCATGTACCATAGCCTCAATACAGCTATCGGGAAAAATTATAACACATGTCAGCACAGTGTCAGCTCACAATGACTACATGTACCACAGCCTCAATACAGATAACGGGGCAAATTATAATACATGTCAGCACAGTGTCAGCTCACAATGACTTCATGTCCCACAGCCTCAATACAGCTATCGGGGCAAATTATAACACATTTCAGCACAGTGTCAGCTCACAATGACTTCATGTCCCACAGCCTCAATACAGCTATCGGGGCAAATTATAACACATTTCAGCACAGTGTCAGCTCACAATGACTTCATGTCCCACAGCCTCAATACAGCTATCGGGGCAAATTATAACACATGTCAGCACAGTGTGATCTCAAAATGACTTCATGTACCACAGCCTCAATACAGATAACGAGGCAAATTATAATACATGTCAGCACAGTGTCAGCTCACAATCACTTCTGCATGTACCATAGCCTCAATACAGCTATCGGGGAAAATTATAACACATGTCAGCACAGTGTCAGCTCACAATGACTTCTTCATGTACCACAGCCTCAATACAGCTATCGAGGAAAATTATAACACATGTCAGCACAGTGTCAGCTCTCAATGACTTCATGTACCACAGCCTCAATACAGAAAACGGGGCAAGTTATAATACATGTCAGCACAATGTCAGCTCACAATGACTTCATGTACCGCAGCCTCAATACAGCTATCGGGGCAAATTATAACACATGTGAGCACAGTGTCAGCTCACAATGACTTCATGTACAACAGCCTCAATACAGATAACGGGGCAAATTATAATACATGTCAGCACAATGTCAGCTCACAATGACTTCATGTACCGCCGCCTCAATACAGCTATCGGGGCAAATTATAACACATGTGAGCACAGTGTCAGCTCACAATGACTTCATGTACAACAGCCTCAATACAGATAACGGGGCAAATTATAATCCATGTCAGCACAATGTCAGCTCACAATGACTTCATGTACCGCCGCCTCAATACAGCTATCGGGGCAAATTATAACACATGTCAGCACAGTGTGATCTCAAAATGACTTCATGTACCACAGCCTCAATACAGCTATCGGGGAAAATTATAACACATGTCAGCACAGTGTCAGCTCACAATCCTTTTGTACACATATAGATAATAGATATTACTGATCGTTTTGTTAAACCACGGACTTAATCTAATTCCGTGGTCAAACCTAAAACAACTGTATTGTATAATGAGTGTGGTTTACAGTTTGTTTATCATGGTTTGTTTGTTTTATCCCTGACTAAAGGTATTTGTGTATCATTTTTACCTGTAGTTACAGTAGTGTATGATGGAACTGTAATACTGTTTATTATACCTTTGTAATACTATATGGTATGCTGAGTATGATAGTCACTATTATGCCACTGTATGGTGTGGTAAACTATCTATAATACATGTATCATGTAGTGTGAGTAATATATATGTGTAATGCTGTAATATTATTATTGTAGGATTGTACTGTAAGATGGATGCAACAGTGCCCGCTATACCACTGTGTGAACGTACGGTATGGGTGAATGTAATGCTGTGTATTGCACCATAGTAATAGTATTGTAAAACGAGTGTAATACTGAAAATCACTGTATGATGAGTGTCATTGTATGAACAAGGTTTGATAGTACGTATGAACAGTGTAATATTGTGTTTATCATTGTATGAGGAGTGTAATGGTTTCCACTATATTACTGTACGCTTGCATAGTAAGATGAGTGCTTTACGGTCAACCATATCATTACTATATTGTACTCTATGTTGACCTCTTGTTGCACATAAAAGTGTGCCTGAATGATCATAAAAAACTCTCTCTCTGAAATTTCTCTCTAACAATGACTTCATACACCTCAGCCTCAATACAGCTAAAGGGACAAATTATAACTCAGAGTCAACACAATGTCAGCACACAATGTCTTCAAATACCACAGCATCAACACACAATGATTTCATACCTCACAACCTCAACACAGGTAGATGGACAACACTTACCACAGCGTCAAGACACAATGATTACATATCTAACAACCTCAACACAGGTAGATGGACAAAACTTACCACAGCATCAACACACAATGATTTCATACTTCACAGACTCATCACATGTAGATGGACAAAACTTACCACAGCGTCAACACAAAATGATTTCATACATCACAAACTCAACACATGTAGTTGGACAAAACTTACCACAGCGTCAACATACAATCATTTCATACCACACAAACTCAACACAGGTAGATGGACAAAGCATACCACAGCGTCAACACATAATTATTTCATACCTCACAAACTCAACACATGTAGATGGACAAAGCATACCACCGCGTCAACCCACAATGATTTCATACCTCACAAACTCAACACAGATAGATGGACAAAGCATACCACCGCGTCAACCCACAATGATTTCATACCTCACACACTCAACACATGTAGATGGACAAAGCATATCACCGCGTTAACACAATGAGTTCATTCCTCGAAAAAACTCAACACATGCAGACGGAAAAACCATATCACCGCGTCAACAGACAATGATTTCATATCCCACTGCGTCAATACATGTAAAATGACAAAACTTACCACAGCGTCAACACACAATGATTTCATACCTAACAACCTCAACACAGGTAGATAGACAAAACTTACCTCAGCGTTAACACACAATGATTTCATACCTCACAAACTCAACACATGTAGATGGTCAAAGCATACCACAGTATCAACACACAATGATTTCATTCCTCACAAACTCAACACATGTAGATGGTCAAAACTTACCACAGCGTCAACAAACAATGATTTCATATACCACTGCAACAATACAGGTATAAGGACAAATATACCAGTGTCAACACACAATGACTTTATGCACTACCACAGCCTCAACATAGATACATGGACAAATGTACCACCGCGTCAACACTCAATTATAAATATTTCATACACCATTGCTCCAAAACATATTGAATGTATATACCTCTGCCTTAACACAGAATACAACAGCGTCAACACAATGAATTCATGCACCACTCCCTTAACACAGAACATTTCGAACTTAAGTTGTTAGAGTAAGATAAAAGCAGAAGGAACTGACAAAAATCGAATTAACATAAACCTCCATAGCAATTGGAGATGAAACCACATAACGGAAAAGAACAAAACGTTATCTTAGACACATAGGATATATGTTAAGTCACGCAACTCTGAATTTTCTAAGTCGTAGTGATACCAGGATAATTAGTCATCTATCTTTATATAAACGCGAATTTACTCCAGTTACCCTATGGCGTGTATAGGAAATATATCTAACCATGTAAATAGGTTATGTTTATCAAAAGGTTATGCTTTCGACTACTGTATACACGGTTGGTTTTCTGTTTTATTTATTATTATCAATTTTGAAATCTGAATATCTAAATATTTTACTTCAAGATTAGTTAGAAGCTCGACGCCAGAAAGACATCTTTCCAGAAGGTAATTTTCATAGTTACTTTGCCAAAAATATAAATACTCTGTTCCGCAGTTGACAAGATTTCCTTTTTAAGTTTTGATATAGGGATTGAACGGCGTTTTTTTTTTAATTTTCATGCCGGTATGAACGCAAATCAGTTACATCCTTATTGCATAAAGCCCGCTAGGGCTTCATGTTTAATACAGGCATGAACATTTAAAAGAACGCCGTTCAGTTTATATATTTACATTTTTACTATAGGACAATTGTTTAATTCAATTTATTTGTTCTTAGATACTTTATCAATTTTCTATGTTTTGTATATGCGTCGTCCTTTGAACGACATTGGCAGAACAGCCCTATATCGCCATATTATCTCAAGCATAGCAACAAGACTCTCATTGAACAATGTTAATCTATGACGTCATAAGTAAACCACGTGTTATGCCACGAGAGGTTTTGCTTTCAGACTCAAATGTAATGAATTTCTGATTGTTATGTTCATATAGTGGGTTGAGATGCATTCTACAGAAGTTTAGTTATTTAAGATTGGAATATTTGAAAATTACAATAAAATAAGAAAAAAAGATAATTTAAAAAAATAGCAGGGGTCGAACTCAGGACATTTACATTGCAAACTCTACCCTTTACCAGTGCTGCCATCTAGGCTTTATAGAAGTATAGCCTCTGAGTGTTCAGTTTATGGGCTGCAATGCTAAGAAAAACCAAAAGAAGATCGAAACTGGACAGGAGAAGATGCTAGAATATAATGTTTTATTACTTCTGGTTGCTTCATCTTCTACGGATACGAGAGAAATCTCCAAGTCAAAAAAATGACCGGGGCTGGTATTTACGATAACTGTGGCAATGGTACCTTTTACGTTAACTAAGACTTGCTATGTTAAACCACAAACGTAGTTAATATCTTTAGTGTACGTGTACGGACGCCATTGTTGTCCTCCTTACTGCGAGTTACAATGTACCAGGCTACTGAACGCGGGTATGTGTGACATTTGAGGAGACTGTAAGACAGGAATGCTATTATTAGTGTGAACGTGAATGAAGCACTGCGACGTTAATGTTCCTACCACGGGTAATAGCAAAACACAATACGGAACCACAGGATAGGCCTGAATGTTGTTTTTTTTTATATAAAATATAGCGGGTGACTGCCGGCACACAAATGGTTCAACCAATGATTGGTAAGATCAGTTTAGGGGAATTCCCTCGGAAATTCCATTAATTAAAGGGAGAAATGAACCTGACCACAATTACGAAATACGTATAACCGATATATCTACAACATAGTACCCGTAAAAGGCGAGACATACATATGTATTTACCTGTGACGGGTGGATGAACTAGAGTGTTGATACCTGGCAGGAATATACAGGATAATCTTAAAGGGGAAATACGATCGGCCGAATGGCCCATGTGAGTATTGATTTGTATATTTTTCTTGATCGATTCCCTATCTAGCGTACCATCCATGATTACATTTCTAGGAACAATGGTATTGATTCAACCTGTAGATGGTTTATGTTTCTGTTTGATGTTGTTTTAATGCTGTTCAATGGCCGTACACAGTAGCACCTGCTTGTAAGGAAAGTACATGTGCCTGTCTATACGGGTACTTCTGGTAGCTGTTTTACCTGACCATGTATGCGTACAGTTGTGTATTTGGGCTGTAATACAGGCAGCTAATCGTTTAGACACATTATCCAATTATCTACCTGCATATTTATTAAAAAGTTAAATATCATATTTAACGTAAATTGGCAAAAAACACACATACAAACAGATATATACTATGCTTCGTGGAATGTATAGTTTTCTGAAAAAGACAACAACAACACACCTGTTGTTACATTAATGTTAAATGGTCGCAATTATGGACATATTTTATCATACTCTTTAAATTTGAATAGGAAACTATCTTAAAGATTTAATCTGTATATATCCATGTGGTATGTCACAAACATGAATTATTTCTGAAATATTATGTATTTACTAACATTCAGAAAAGTTGATAAAATGGGAGAAAAGAAATTCACGTACGATCACTTTGCAACCATTACATACATGTATTTGTATTACGAAAATTTCAATTGCATTACATCGCATAGTGTTTTCTTTTGACCAAAACTTTCTAGAGGAAAGGATTAAATTTGCATTAGATATCTGACTTCCTGTTTGCTTGTGTACCTATAAAGAATAAAATATTTTGAGAAAAATATATTACAAGTTTTGTTTCTGCACTTCAACAAAACCATGACTTTAGAATGTCCTTAACACTTTTTACAACATGAAAGAACATCTTTTTTAACCCGAACAATCCACGTTATAGAAACTGCCCAACGTTCCAACGTGATAAGACATCTTGGAGATACATAAGATCATAGGTTTAAGTGTTTTGAGGTCACTTGTATCACAGGGGTGTGACACAGATCCCCGACCCACGGTCCGTATATATGTGTATTATGATACACGAGACACGTATAAACAAGGCGTGGCTAAGATCCCCACCCCATGGTCCGTACTAACATAAGACATATATAAACTGAGCGTGGCACAGATCCCCAAACCCCAGGTCCATATATATGTGCATTACTAACATAAGACATTTATAAACTCGGTTTGGCACATATTCCCATCCCCAGGGTCCTTATATACGTGTTTTATTATACATAGGACATATATATTGGACGTGGCACTGATCCCAAACCCCGGGGTCCGCATATACGTGTTTTATGATACAAAGGACATATGTATTGGGCGTGGCACTGATCTCAACCCCAGGGTCCGCATATACGTGTTTTATGATACAAAGGACATATGTATTGGGCGTGGCACTGATCTCAACCCCAGGGTCCGCATATACGTGTTTTATTATCCAAAGGACAAATATATTGGGCGTGTCACTTATCCCCTACCCCAGGGACTATATCGAGTGTCACTCTTTGTTAAGCATTTAATTCCGTTGAGTTGAATGTCCTAGTTGGTACAGTTGTCGTTAGTTTGAAATGTCGGCGTCATAGGTACAATCAAGTGTAGAACACACTATGTGGGTTTCTAAATTTCAGATTTCTTTTCTTCTGTGTGATTTGCCTCGTTTAATAAATTATAATTATTAACTAAGTGAAGCATATAGTGCATATTAAAGGAAAGCACCTTATTTCATTTAGAGTGTAATTCATGAAATAGGAACCTTGGTTTTTCTTTATTGTACTACGCGCACAATGAAAATTTCATTGAAGACAATCGTTATGCAACTTTAAATAATTCACTCGTTTAAAATTTATTTTCAATATCCTCTTTAATCTTCACGATATTAATAATCATTAAAGTGCATTTTACAATCCCCAGTTAGATATTTTCAGCACAATGCATACCATTTCATGAATATAGCTTTGATATTGCATAGGATCTCATATATATCTTGATCACTTTATGAAATAGCCTTTATAATTTTATATATAAGATAACTCATGCAAAATAGATATATAATATAATTCATTAAATAGCTGAAACATTAAAAGATAACGTTACCTATAAAACATATAAGATATGTTCTGCAATTTTAATTTCTTCATAAGATCTCTTATATGAATGCGTTTTCAAGCTGTATTAAGAAAAGAAAGAAAAGAGCGAGATTAGACTTAATAAAATAATGAAATAATAAATCCTCCTCACTAAAATGCGGCAAGCCAACTTAACATTTATTCAAGAAGCAATGTCTTCGATCCTGTGTTTCATGAATTAATGGAAGATATCATATTTACGTTGTATTGGTAACGATATCTAAGCAGGTAAATAAGACAAAAATATCTTGTATAATATATAAGATATCTGAAATTTTGTATTAGATTTCCTTTATATTATAAAGATATTTTATTTCCTTATACGATACATACTTTTTGATACAAGATATCTTATATCTTTTGAAAAGATATCTTATAAATTTGGACAAGACATCTTATAAATTTTATACATTTATATACATGTATTATATGATATATAATGTAAAATATATAAGTATCTTATAAAAAGAATAAAATATTTAATATAAATTCGAATATTTTTTATATCACTTAAAGAACTTAATGAATATAAAGCACAGCAATGAAACAGACTTTCACTTATTTTTTCTCAGGCTTTAAAAGTTAATAAGCTTACATTTTTGTAAACATTTTTACAAAGATTCCTTATAACCACAGAAGACATATTGCCTAATTATAATCACAGGAGTGCCATTGCCCCTTGAATAATAATGTTTAAAAGGTGGCTTGTCGTAGCATTGATAGGCGCTGAAGAGAAAGTGTGCTTTATTATCAACATAATGGTCCGTACAAATAAAACAATGGCCGTTTGTTCTGTATAATGTCCTGCACTGCAAAGTCGCATTGAAAAAGGCGTGTTTACAAGCAGTGAAGTGGTTTCTTTATATCTGTAAGCATGCATTATCTATTATAATCAGCAAACTGTGAACAAACCTACATGTCACATTCCTTACACAGCATATGCATATATTATTACGTAGCATCCCGGGTTTGATTGCTAAAAGGTTAGTTAACTTGAACCAGTGGTTAGGGAACATTCAAAAATTGTTGCCCCAAAAATCCAGAGACTTTAAAAGCAAAATAAATTTTCAAAATTAGCCTGATCTGCCTAAACAAACCGTTGACAGTGTAATAATGTCAGATTGTCTTGATTTTGTTGTATTCAAAACTTAAATTTTCCCTAACAACTGGTAAACTCTAACCAGCCTTTGAACAACCGGAGCTAGGATGTCATCGTAACAGAGTCAGTCAAAACGATGTTCTGTCTTGGGTTCTCTTGTTTTACCAAAAGCAGTCGGGATGCTATTTGTGAAGTGTTATCTAAGCAATGGGTAGCTGCTTATTTGTGCAATGATTAGTATTATAATACATTGAGTGGTATTTCATATAATTTTGTCAAAATGTTATTTATTGTATTTCTTCCCAAAACTGACTGGTTGAAAACTGCTGTATAAACTGTAGCTGCTTGCAGTTGCTTGGGGATGTCGTAGGGAGAGGATAAAATACATACGCCTGGACGTGGTGTCGTAGGGAGAGGATAACATACATACGCCTGGACGTGGAATTACTTCACCAGTATACAATGTCATTCTATATAGCGGTATCCACTGCCAAGAAATATTATGAGTATTGAAAATTATATCACGGGCTTTAGCCTCCAATATTATAGGTGTATTGACAGACGGGGCTAGTACCTGTGATTATGTCACAGTAGATCCTTTAGGATTAGCCAGAAATGAATACATCTCAATAACAAAGAAAAGAACAGCCTATATATAACATATACAAGGGGTACTATTATACATCGTGTCTAATTGGGCAATCTATTTCAGGATGAATGAACACCTACCCCACGTCACACATTGGTCAGTGCAAACTGGTCACCTTCCTCACGTCTCAGTGGTCAGTCAGATTGGTCACTTTGAGAGCGGACGAGAGGCATTTCATATCTTTATGTAGTCTACTCTTTATGTAGTATGTTCTATGAAAATAGTCTTGTGCACTACTATAGGTTTGGATTTATTTTGTTTAAAGTCCTATTAACAGCTAACATGTCTTTATGTTTGGGTAGTTGGGTGGCGCAATGGATAGCGCACTTGCTTTTCACCAAGGCGACCGGGGTTCGATTCCCCGAACAGACGTGAAAAGGTATTGGGTCATCTGCCCAATCATGTGGGTTTTCTCCAGGTAATCCGGTTTCCTCCCATACGAATTCCCCCCGCGCGCTAACATCAGGGCCAACAAGAGTGATTCATATAAGTTGAAATAACTTGTTTCATAATTGTTGTAAACTAAATAGAGTTTATATTTTATTAACAGCTGAAGTCATTTAAGGATGTGCTCTTCTTAGGTTTCAGTCACGTTCAAATATCGTTTTGCTCTAGTATAGCGGGTTTTTATTAAATATAACAAATTATGATCTATTCAAAAAATTAGCATGCATCTTAAAATTGTATCAAAACACTAGATTCACATAGTTTGCAGAACTTTTTTACAACAAAACAGAAAATAATATAGCAAAAAAATAAGCACACTATTTTTGTAGGAAGATTAAAACACATTTTCTTTTGTTTCATTAAATATAAGTAAAACTTAAATACCAGAACTTTTTATATCAATCGTCAAAAGAAATTTGAAGAATTAGTACTTTTGCACTTAAAAAATATGGGTAGGAGTGACATGAATTGCATTTCTGTGATAAATAGTTAATAAGGTTTGAACTGTGGAATTAAGGAATGATGAAATATTTTTTTATCTAAAAAGAAAAGAATTAATATTAATGATACTGACAGAAATACTGTACAGAAGAGCTGAAGGACTCTTTAATACTGCGCCGAGATCTTATAAGGTTTGATTTTCATTTTGTATGGATGT